ATTTTTTTTTTTTTTTCCAGTCTCTTTCAATTCTTTTGGAGAAGTCTTGATGCATATAAGAATTTTTTTTTTTTTTTTTGAAAGTACCAGTTGTCTAGTTTGTCTTCTGCTGTTTGTTCATTTTTCAGTTATAGTTGATGGTCTATTATTGCCATAAATTGGGGCCCCTAAATATGCCCCTATTTTATTTTTGATGACCTTTATAGTTCTGGGTTTTATATTTAGGTCTTTGACCCATTTTGAGTTCATTTTTTTGTATGGTGTGAGATATGGATCTTATTTTATTTTTTTGCAATTGGATATCCAATTTTGCCAACATCATTTGTTAAAGAGATAGTTGCACTTCTTTGCAAATTTGAATGCCTTTTATTTCTCTATCTTGTTTTATTGCCTTGGCTAGGACTTCTGATACAGTGTTGAATAAAAGTAATGATAGAGGACATACTTGTCTGGTTCCCTTTCACAAGGGGAGTTTAGTCTCCACTGAGAATAAAGTTGGCTGTTGTTTTTGGAGTATATTCATTTTGTTATGTAGAGGAATTTCCCTTCTATTCCTATTTTGCTGAGAATTTTGTACAGGAATGGGTGTTACATTTTATCAAATGCCTTTTCTGCATCAATTGATATAATCATGTGGTTCTTTTCCTTTGTTTTATATATATGATGGATTATTTTGATTGTTTTTCTACTGTTCAGCTATCCTTGTATACCTGGTACAATTCCCACTTGGTCATGGTGTATTATTACTTTTTGATATTCCGTTGGATTCTTTTGGCTAGGATTATGTTGAAGATTTTTGCATCTATATTCATAAGGGATATTAGTCTGTAGTTTTACTTTTTAGTGGTGTTTTTGCCTGGTTTTTATCTGAGGGTTATGCTTGCTTCATAGAATGGATATGCAATATACCATCTTTTCGGTGTTCTGGAACAGCTTGAGTAAGATAGGTGTCAGCTCTTCTCTAAACATTTGATAGTATTCTCTAGTGAAGCTGTCCTGACTAGGACTCTTTTCTTTTGGTAGTTTTTTTTTATGACCTGCTCAACTTCTTCATTTGTTATAGGTCTTTTGGACTCTGGGCATTTTAAAAATACTCTACAACATCTCAATGAAAAGTATATTCAGCTATTTATCTGAATTCAAAGAATGAAAATATACAAAAAAAAAAAAAAAAAAAAAGTCCAAAAAAAAGGTGGGAATCATCCAAGGCACAGTTCTCAGTTATTAGTGTGTGCATAGGTATAACTCAGGAGAGTTAGTTAACAGTGAAAATTCCTGTTCTACCTTAGAACTAGCACACTGGATGATTCCCAGACCACATTGAGGTAGGGGTCTGTTTTCTTTTTCCTGGAGTAATTTCCTTGTTTCTACGTAGAGTAGTTAGAGATGCTTTGAGGCATGTCCAGTTACTGTTCTATCATGAATAATAAACCTGTTAGACCATAAGTTGATATAACTGGAGCCTTCTCATTGACAAGATAAGACAACTAATTCTATAGAGATAGAAACTTAAACACCAATGCAACATAGATTTGTCCTTCAGAATACAACTAAGAGATTTTAGGAAGTGCCAATAGGTCCCCCCCCCCCACTCCCCTGCATGCCAAATCATAGTCCAGGATCAAACATGTGCCCATGTCTATTATTAATACTGTGTTGTCATGCTAGTCCAAGGATAGAATTGGCATTGTTGTTGAACAAATCATCCATTAACAAATGATCAGGGTCATAAGTTTTGCTTTCGAAGAATGTTTTTGTTCAAATTTGGGTCACCTACTATTACAGAAAACTACCACCTTATATTTAGAGCTTTGTCTTTTTCTTTAAAAGGGCAAATTTTGATGATACTGCAACATACACAGCAGTGGCAACTAATGTTCACGGACAAGTATCAACCAACGCTGCGGTGGTGGTGAGAAGTGAGTATTCACTTCCAAAGGAAGAAATATTTATTGTTTCTTTATTCCTTCTTTACAATTTTCACTTCATTATTTTACAGGGTTTAGAGGAGATGAGGAGCCATTCTACTCTGTGGGACTACCAATTGGATGCAAGTATATTTTTTTCTTTTTGTGTAGAAAAATATTTAAAAACAAAACAATGCATATAATTTAAACATTATTTTCTTAGGGTCCATTAAAAAAAAAAACCTCGTTTCAAAAAACTCTTCCAAGTGTTGTGGGTTCAGAAGAAATTGATGACCACTATAACGTCCAGAATTTGGAAGGGTCTTTATTCAGCTATAGCCAGGCTGCAGGGAACTAAAGCGTTCTCCCCAACTGCAGCCCCAGCCTGATTTCTGGCAGGTTTATATAGCTTAGGACTGCAAGCAAGAAAGCAAGCATGTTACAGAAGCGAGATAAATTGCCAGATTATTGTTTTCGGAAGATTAATGGTTAGCTTACTATTTT